TTTAATAAATTCAACTTGATAACTTTGAGCAAACATATTATTATTTTGTACTCTAAAATATTGTATAATAAACATAATAAAATATAAAAAGTAATAATTATTAACATTTTTTAAAAATATAATGTAAATAACAAAAAACCAAACAAAACAAAATGTAATAATACGACAACGTGACAAAAGTTCATGGCAAAAACCAGATAGCTCCGGAGCTACCTTGTTCTTCGACCGAAAAAAAAAACAAGACAGCTCCAAATACGTTATATTTCCTATACTGGTTGTTGGATTTGTCTCGTTCTTGTACCGATAAACTCGTAATTTTTTGCTTTATCAAATTCAATGAAAACCCGATTTTGAAAAAAAAATGGAGTTGTCCGGTTTTTGCACGGACGCCTTCAATTTAAATACTGGAGACTATATTACTTCCTCGCAGTGGCGTATTTAAAGTGGGGGATCAAGGGGATAAATCCCCCCCCATAGGCTGTATAACACAAATAATTACAGTCATATTATTTAAAAAATTATTATTTTTTTTTTTATCAATAATTGATTAAATTTGTAAGAATTAAAATATTTTAATATATTGTACAATATTCTCATTGGTATCTTCATTTATAAAGTTATATCCCCCCATGACAAAAACCTAAATACGCCACTGCATCCTCGTAAAAATGATTTAACTCAAAAACTATTGTATATATTTAGTATATAAAAACGAAAAACTAAAAAAGAGATAAAAGATTTTAATTTATATTATGCAAGTATAATTTTGTTTAAATATTATTATATATTATTTATGATATTATTTAATCTTGATTATAAAAAATATGTACATACTTGGAATCATTAACAACCTAAAGAGTAAAACTGAACTCAAATTTTACTATATGTAATACAAATAAATATTTAAAAATCATTTATCATTTTAATTAGAGATATATAAATCAAAATTTAATATTAAGTACATATATTATTATAAAATAACATTTTTAGCATAATTGATTAAGATGACAATTCCGATACAAATATTAATCATTATTTACTATTTATCTACAATCAACTATAAACACTAAAATATATTCTATAAATTATATTATTATTATTAAGTGTATAAAATGTATAAAATAGGTACTTAGTTTTATTTTGACAAATTATGGAACAATGAAAGTTATGTACAAATTTGTTTTACACTTTGCTGATGTTTAAAAATTGTATTTTGCTAATTTATGCATATTTACAGTTTCTACTGCTATTTTTCTTTTAATGAGCATGGGCGCTCATTGGGAGGGGGGGGCGAAAGACGAGTCACTAACCCTGGAAAAATAATATAATGCTATAATAAGTATTACCATTATAGATATTATTTAATTACCTAAAGAGCAAATAATTTTTTTTTTTTTTATCAGTATAGGGATTTTAAATCAAAAATATACATTTATATATAGTCGTATTGACGACTTGATATAGTATACGCAAGATTGATCACAGATTAAACGTTTATTTAGTTTATATTTTAAGACTCTTTTCGATATTTTTATTTTCCTAAAATGAAATCAATGAGCGCCCATAAATATAGGTAACTTCAATACAGTATTCAAGTATGTAGGCGAAAACATGTATTTTGATTTTCAAATAGATATAGGTTACCCTATCGACTGTTATCAATTTATCACTAATGACATCGTACTATTTGTTCTAATAATTTCCAATAATATAGTTATTTTTAAAATTTTGTGTCATAACTCATTAGCATTACATTGCAAATCTCAGATTTATTGTATTTACGTTCCAAACCAAAACTAACCAATAATTCCCAAATACCTATTACCATATTCAGATATTCTATAAAAATAAATATAAAGTTTTTTCTATAAAAATCAAAAAAATGTATAGACAATTTTATTTTGCATCTTTACCAATGTTTTGTGCTTATTTTGGTGTTTTCAAGTTCCTATTAAAGCCCTAAAAATTTATTTTTTAGTTCTATAACATCTGATTTAAAATTTAACTAAATTTGATTTAAATTAAATAATACATTCATTGAAAAGAAATCAAGCAAACTATATCATATTACGTAATTTATTTTGTCAAGGTCTTTACCCTTGCTACGTAATATAGTGTTATCAAATCAGTTTGACGAAAAGTACCTAACTTTATGATGTCTATGAATATGTCTCATTTGTTTCAACATTAATATCAATGAATTCAATTTATTCTCAATCGTCAAATTGCTGATATCAGTCAATGTAAGTAATTTTAACTACATTTTTTAAATCTTTTTTTGTTGAAACGCTAATATTAAAATAAGATAATTTTGTGTTTGAACCGCGTTTTAGATTATTTAGGCATAAAATGTTGCCCAGCGTATTTTTTTGTTCGGTTTTATGTATCACAACCACCATTACAAGAGCTTCAAATATATTAGTGTTTATGCCATTACCGATTAAAAGCCATTTCCGCGGATTCCAACCACTGTTTGAAACATTGTCAAACCGAGGGCATAATGTAACCGTAGTCAGTTCATACCCTCTAGATCATTCAGTGGCCAACTACACAGATATAGGGCCATTTATTGACAAAACAAGAGGTTCGTGAACATTTATAAAGTATTTATTCATAATTGACACAACAAAAATTACAAATTTACATAATATAATATTAATAATATATACAATATACATTTGTAATGTATGCTTTATTATATTTAATACGTAGTTATGTATTTTTGAAAATATAATTTATTAGCCGTATTATCAAATTTGATCATTACTGCAGTATTGGAATGATGCTAATTTCATTTTAAACTTCAAAGTACCCAATTATTACTTACTTAGTAGTTATTACATATAAATTACGTATTAAAATTAAAAAGGGTAGATACTTTATGATGAACTTATACCAAACAATTTTAAGAAATAAAATTTAGAATATTAGCTTCTAACAATCTCAATATATTTTGATTAGTAGTATATTGGTACTTATATCTATACAATAATAATACTGAACATAAAAAGTGGAAAAATGGTGTGACGAGGAGAAAAATTTTGAACAATCTATTTCAACTCATAACGAGGGAGAAGCCTGTGAATTGGGCCATAGTTAACCTTTTTTCAAAAAGTATACAGTAATCAGGCCACTTCTGTTTTAAATTTATTATAGGAAGACTCGGTGATTGAGCCACATTTTCAATAATTATTATTATTGTATCCGGTAATTAGGCCACTATAAAATTTTATATTTTAATAAAATAATATTTAATATAATACGTTACATATTGCAACAATAGTGCAATACCTAACACTTCAGTGCACACGAAACTTTATTCGAAGCAACCACGTGGATTATCAAAAGGTAATAATAAATTATCCAATATTAAATGATATAAAATTAGTAGAGGTTACTAATTAAAATGGATAAAAATAGCCAAAAGCGTAATTTACAAAGATTATAAGACATTGTTTAGTTGATTGCAAACTATACTATCCACATTTATTGCCTATTACAATACAGCTCAAATAAGAATTAAAAACATTTTCAGATTATATTTTTGACACCTATATTTGTGACATGCTATTTTTCCTCCGCAACATGAGCATTAGGTATACGTATACCGGTCAGAATCTGTAACTCGAACTACAAACAAATCGTATCTTTTCATTTTTCATTCGTATTTCAAAAATCATGTTTAAATGTCACATTTAAATATTCATAATTTTCAAATGTTTTTTGGGGAGTTCAATTGGAAGTTTATATTAAATTAAATCGTAAAAACAGTAAAATCCAAAAAATGAACTTTAATTCGAAAAAAATATATTCTCAATGAAATAAAAAAATACAAAGTAGGGGAAAAACAAGATTTTAATATGTAAAATTTGTGTTATATTATTTAAAAAAATAATTGTCTATAATATACTATATTACTATATAATAATTAATAATGTATATTGTATATGTATTATATAATACATAAGAACAACACATACTTCTTGTACATAATATTATAATATGTACAGAAATAATCAGATTATTATTATATTATCCAAATGGAAGATATTTGAAATATTTTTTTTTCAGCGAAAAATGTAATGGATTTGGTACGCATGAACTTTATAACATCGGTTCAATTAAAATGGCGTATTGGTATACAACTTTCGGAAATGGTCATGTCACATAGAAATATGAAACAGTTCGTTCAATCGAATTCAAACTCGTACGATTTAGTTATGGTTGAAACATTCGGCCAAGAATATGCTGTAGCCATGGGTCACAAATTTAATGCCCCCGTCATTAATCTAGCACCTGCGATGATCTGGACTAGTATTAGCAAATGGTTGCACGTCCCTTCCACGTTTTCGTACATACCGGATGCGTGTACGCAACCAACCACCAACATGGGTTTCGTCGAACGTTTAAAGAATACTATTACTGGGCTTATGCAATTATATGTAGAAAACTACTTGTATTTGCCCAAAACGAAGGAAGTGATGAACACATACCTCAAATATAGGAACTGGGAATCCAGACCTCCGCTTGAGAATATGTTGAATAATGTATCTTTAACACTGGTCAATTCTCATAATGCGATTGGTATATCTAGACCATACCTTCCGGGCATTATTGAAGTAGGTGGGATGCACATTAAAGATCCAAAATCTTTACCCAAAGTAAGTAAAATTGACTGCAGTAGATAATGGTGTCTTTGTTCTTCTTAATGTCTATTTGTAGGTATTTAAAGAATTGCTTTGCTAAATAGTAAATGCATAAAATCATCATGGATTTAATATTTTATATACTATTTAATATGAATTTTTTATTAGTACATAATATGAAAATACATTTTTGAATAATATTTTAAATAAGTTAAATGCTAAAAGCATATATATATGTACCTACTTAACGAATTAACAGCACCTATAATTTGATACATTTTTTTGTAGAAATTGAAATGAAGATAAGAAGAGATACATTTTTGATTTTTACAATAACTATTTGAAGATAAAATACTGTATGAACATAAGGTTATGTAAATAACTACCTAGGTAAATTAAAACTTAAAATTGATACCGGTTCAATATTAATAGTTATGTTATAGGGTTTTAATATAATTTCGACAATTTCGTAAAATATATGTTAACCAAAGGCATAATTAGGGGGGGAGGGCTTGGGATGGGCTTCAATTTTACTCATCATTTTCCTAGATAATTCATATAAATTAAAACTTATAATTGTGTAGTGAGGACAAATTATATTCCCAAGGTACCTTATTTTGTTAAAAAACATGTTTAGGACTCCAGCCTATGATGTTAATACTTATAAAGATTAAAGTTATAAATCTGTTAAGTATCGACAAAAATGTATATTTTATACACGTCAACATCATCATTTTTAAATTGTGTTATGGTTTATTAATTATTTACATAACTTATAAATTTTATAAAAATCACAATTTTTATTTATAATTTTAGAATCTTCAAACATTTTTAGATGCAGCAAATCAAGGAGTAATATTTTTTAGTTTTGGTACGCTAGTTAATTTAAATGACTTACCTAAAGAAAAATTAAAAATTTTTATTAATGTTCTTGGAAGATTAAAACAAAAAGTAATAATAAAATGGACACCCGAAGACAGTAATGTAAAACTGCCTCAAAACATCATGACTGGTTCGTGGTTTCCACAGAGGGATATTTTAGGTAATAATGTTAATACATTATTATTGTTAGTTATACACTTCTCTAAAAATCAATATTTTATATTCATTTAATTTTTATATGACATAACATATTATACAATATTTTACATACATGCAGCTCACCCAAATGTAATACTTTTCATTACTCACGGAGGATTACATAGCTTAGAAGAAACTGTTTGTAATGCAAAACCTGTAGTTGGAGTACCTTTTTTCGCTGAACAAAATTTTAACATGAAAATAGTCGAAGAAATAGGTTATGGTAAATTAGTAAATTTTTTTGAAATTACTGAAGAATCTTTTGAAAATACCATCAAAGAAGTGTTGTCCAATGAGATGTATATACAAATAATTCAATTAATTAAAATTATTATCATAAAAATAATTGTTTTTAAATTAGGTTTAAGGAGAAAGCAATTATACAGAGTCATGTGTACAAAGATCAACCGATGAAACCCCTTGATCATGCTGTTTACTGGGTCGAGTATGTTATACGGTACGGCGGGGCTGGACATTTAAAAAGTGACTCCATAGGATTAAATGATTTACAGTATTTTTTGTTCGACGTATTATTAATTTTACTTCTGTCTATTGGACTAATTGCTTGGTTGTGTAATTTTATATTTGCAAAATGTATATCTAAAATGTATAAACAACTTATTATAAGTATTATTTTTTCTAAATAATTATTTATTAATAAATGTGTTTTTAACAAGTTAAATTTAAACTTAATAATTATATTTAATACATTTATTCTCGTGTGATTTCTCATCATATTAATTTCGATCTTATTAGTTATTAGTTATTAGTACTTATTACGTATAGGTATAATCAGAATTATCTAAAATTCTGCAAATAAAAGTTAAGTGTATACATACATACACTTTAATAGGAAGATATGAGTATCTGTAAAGTATAACGATAACGGTAAATATTAAATTGACTTATGCCATCCGGCGTTTCAGATCTGAAATCAGTGGAATCATGCAATTTCTGGTCGAAAAGTTATATTGTAAAACACAAAATTAGTCATTAGATATTTAAAACTTAAAATTAATAAATTCAACGTATGCCACATGGTTCACATAAGTCATAATTTATTTTGAAATTTTGACAATCGGCACAAATATTTTCTTGGTAAAAAAAAAAAAAATTTAAATGTATTATCCAATCATAATAATTTCACTTATAAGTTGAAGCATTGATTTTAGAATATACTTAAATATATTCTAAAACCAATGTTTGTACGCATACTAGACAATAATAAGAATACACCTATACATATATCCAGATATCCTATACTATACAAATTGACGATTTGATGAATATATTATATATATTATATTTTTATAACTATATCTGATTTACTATCATAATTATGAATTATGATAAGTGATAATGTACAATACTTGTTTATCTAAAATTAAGCGTTTTTATATTATATAAATATCTATATTAAAACTTCATTAAACGTGATAACAGAAATTAGAATACGAACACAAAATCATTAAAACTTAGTTGTATTAAAACTGTATAATAGTAAATTAAGTATAAACAAACAAAAGTATTTAGATATATTTTAGATAAACCATAGAAAACAAAATAACTATATTATATAAAATTATCTAGTAACCATAATATTAATTAAAAAAAAAAATTACGATTGATGAGTGATGAGTAGTGATGACTATAGGTACTTATGTAATGCCTGCATATAGTTTATGCAACATGAATTATCTAATCTATAAATCATAATATAATTATAATATATACTACGAAATACGTTAATTTATTATGTAATATACTAAACATTGCTTTACAAATAAGAAATACTCGCAGAGTAACAACAAGTCACTTAAGTAATATGTTTTAGTATATTTTTTTTTTTGTAATTTACTCTTCTGTGTAATGCTTTAAGCATATGGCATATCTCAAATCTCAATAATTTCATAGGTTTGTAATTCATGGGTCAAAGACATCGTCTTATACAATATGATACACATATTCAGTAGGTTTACCGTCGACTTATTAAAGTATAATCACTTATCATGGACGGATTAGAAAGTCAACTATAGCACTATTTCTAAACTTTTTGGTAGAACATTTCACATTATTTAGACAAATGGAATAAAACATGACAACGTATTGTTTTTTTTTTTTTTAAGTTACACAGCATCATATATGGTGAAATGTATTAAAGTATATTATTCTAAAATGTTGTACGAAACATGTGTAGCACATGCACTACTTGAGTAGCAGAAGAAATTAGGAAATATTTCCCAAAAGTTGAACAACTCATTTCGAATGGGAAAAAATATTTTTAAAAGCCCCTTCAAGAGTAAATATTTTTAAAAAAATTCCTATCTTCACTAAACATTTTGAAGCTAACGGTAAAAGAAATGATGGTTTTCAGTTTTCAATTTTCATCCGAGTTATCAAGAAACAACATTTTAACAAAATATAAGATATGTAGGTAATCGCTATAAGTTTAGATACCTATACCGGCTATAACTACCTAAACTACCTAATACCTATCCCAATATTTTATAATGTGAAAATTGTAAGCATTCGAAACGCATGAAGAAATAAATTATTACCTACTACAGACTTGCTATTATACTAGCTAGGTACAATGTACATATTTAAAAATAATAATTTCATATTGTAAACTCTTGATGAATTGAATAACAAGAGGAATAGATATAAGTTTTAGCTATCGAGTTTTATTGTAAAGGTAATTTCATTAATTTCAAGAAGATTTAGTTGAGATAACAAATAAATCGAGATACCAACGTTCAGTATCAACATCATGAGATTCTACAGTATTTTTATATTATTATATTAATGGTTATTAAGTTATTATTGTTTATTCTTATTAAGAAATAATTAATAATTGTTATTAGTGAAAGCAGGGCTGAGAAACTAATAACCCGTATACAATTTTACCTGTTTTGTGGTACATTTTTAAATTTAAAATTATATTTTATGTAAGAAAAGAATTTTATAAATATTAGGTAAACATTTCAAATATCTATAGTTACATAAAAAAAAACTGATTTTTTTATACAAGTTTTGTCTAAAAATTCATTTTTATAATTAATATTTTGTTAACCTTGGTTATTTTTAAAAATTCTAGAAAGATAAGTCCTTTATGAGGTCATCATCCTAACTTCTTTAAGCCAGTTAAAAATAATTATATCCAATTCTCTATCGAAACTCAAAAATTAACTTCAACTAAGTTAAAAATCGAATAATTCAATCTACCTACTACTTATCGTATATTCACCACAAAAAAAAACATACATATTATAGTCAATAATAATACATTCATAAATTTCGTAAATTAAAAATAAATTCTATAAATAAATACCTACTTATTTTCGTAAACATAACCTGATAAATTGATTAGTATAGCAATATGGAAAATTCGAAACTAAAATAAATTATATAACTACTATCATTCTGAATTCTGATTTATGTGTCTGAAACAAAAATAAGATACTTATCTGAAGTAAATAATACAATAACATAAAAGTGAATAATAAAATTGAATATATCTAATGATTTCTAAAATTACAATTGTCAATAATAAAACTAAAAAAATATATTTCAATTTCATGATTGGCTTAAATCTCACCAATTTATTTGTTCCACGCACCAGCCCCTGTGGCCTAATGGATAAGGCATCGGTCTCCTAAACCGGGGATTGTGGGTTCGAGTCCCACCAGGGGTACGGTCTAAATTTTTGCATTATTTTTCAAGTTGATTTACAATTTAAATATTCACATACATACATAACTGTGTGATACATTAAAGTTAAATCATTAAAACTTAAATAAGTGAATGCATTTATCAGTATGTAAAATTAATTTTTTGGAGCCATATTTTTGCAGAAAACACATTATGTTGTTGAAATTATATTTAAAATTTTGAGCTATTTGATGATGAACCAATTGTTTTGAAAATTATTTTGTGCGATTTGTATTTTATGTCTCTATATAAATCACCTAACACCATTTAGAAAATTATAAATTATAATACTTCCAGGCACGTCGTCAAGAGGAGGCCTGGCCCTCTAAGAAAAGTAAATGGCCCCAAACTAGCATCCTTAATTTTATTTTTAAATATTTTAAATATTATGGCGTTTAATCGTCCCAAATCCTAAATATATTATATTATATTATTCCATTTAATTAACAAACGTATAACAAAAATGTAATTCTAAGATTTTATTTTATAAGTATTAGTCACTCGACAATTTGAGATAAGAGTAAGACAGTACATCTATTATCTAATAGATTGAAAACTAGAAATACCAAATACGGTTATTGAACGTACATTGATGAACACAACTACGGACAACATTACAATAGTGAACCTATGTAATACGATAAACATGCCTAACAAAATAACAAAAAAATATTATTCTCTATTGAGTTTGAGCATTGATTCATTCAAAACTGAAAACACGTAGCGTTGTAGACCGTAATAGTTAACAAGGCACGATATAATAACTAAGAGAACTTTAATAAATTATTTTAATAATCAAAAAAACTTGAGAACCGAGAGGTAAGTACGAAAATTATACATAGATACTTCGAATAAATTTTATCTACTAAAGTCTTATTTACCTATATTTTTTTTTTTTACTAATTAATAATTATTGTAATTATTTTCTTATTATATAATTAATAATGCATTCATGTAGTTTTAGATATTCTAGTACAGTAGCGTCCCTAGACCCTTTTATAGGGGGGGGGGGCGAACTCCATACATCATATATATGAAAATACACCAATTTATAATAAAATAAATAAGAAAATTGAGGTCATGGAGGGGGCGACTACATATTTTACATTTTTAAGACATTTTATTCTATGTACAATATTATCAATAAATTTAAATACCTATTTTATTTATTTTTATTATTTAAATCATTATTATCATTAGTGTTTTATTGCGTTATAATATGCGTAACTGTAATCTCAGCACTTAAATAATCTGTATAAAGTACCTATAATATTATAACATAGGAGGTAGTACGACTATATATATATATCTATTTCTGGACTCAAGTTATTTACTATTGGTGATTATATTATTTTATTAAATTAATGATTTTAAAAATTAAAAAAAAAAGAAAAGATTTTATTCATTAAATTTTGATTTACCTAATCGATAATATTATGATTACTTTTTCATACTAATTGGTATTGGTATCTATCTATTTATTATACTTAACTAATACATAGACAATACTTTGTGAAATATAGTTTTTTTTTTATAGTCATTGTGTAATAAGAAGTGAAATGATATGGGGGGGGGGGGGTACAAAAAATAGAAAGATACCAAAAAATATCGGCCTCCTTATGAAAAAATGCCTAGCTACGTGCCTGAATACTTCAAAATCATTTTTTATAGGAAAATAAATCTAATGAGTACCTACTACAAGTAAGAGGGTCAAAATTAAAAAAATTTCTTTCGTTACTTAATTTTTTGAAAAAACAATAAAAAAATAAGGGAAAATTGAAAATTCTTATGAAATTAGTATTTGTTAAAATCAATTTTGTTGTAAGCAAAAAACGAATAACCGTAAATACTTTAAAATATATTCATTTAAATGTTTACATTTTGACTAGTGTTGAGTTATTCTATAGTATAGGCCTTGCATTTAAAATTTAATTTTTTTTCTAAAAATGTAGATAAAAATTTTGGCTGGGTTATAAGGTATTGAAAATTTAATATAAGGATCCTCAAATATTACTATTACTGTAATTTAAAAAAACAGTGGGCGTAATTTATTAAATATTTTTTAAAAGTTTCTGAAATTTAAATGTTGATACTAATGGATAATCATTGCACGCGTAAAAAAGTAAAATACTTAAATAACTAGTAAAAGTTATATAGATTGACAGTTTTCACTCACAACAATTTTTTGTATTCAATGATTTATCATTAAATTTAAATTTAACACATATCTCACAGATTTTCGTATAAATTTTGTTAAGTATCTTTAACTAAATTTTAAAAATTAAATATAATATCTTATTGTTATCGCTTTTCAGTTAGTCATTAAAGTTTATATCCTGAAAAATGTAAGACTTAACTCGTACAGTCTAACCTACGTTGGAATAATAGTAAATAATAATTGACTACTACGTGTAAAATGTACTGGAAATAATTTATTCTATATTTCTATCCTATGTATATTCATTGAATTAGACAGGTAACGTAGAGCGCTAGAGCTTACGACGCCTGTTATAAATAATATATAATGATCAATTATTTGATATAACGTACCTTTTATAAATATGAATAAATTTAAGTGGGTATGAACTATTGTCGATAACTTACCAGTTGAGTTCTTTATTAATAATCAATAGAAAAAGATTATTTATTTTGGTTTTAAGAATCGTATTATTACTTGTAAGTTTTTTTATTATTCATGTATACATTATTAGCGTTCTTGGTATAGCGACTTCAAAGACGCGAAGCGAATTTAGGTGTACTGAGCATTTATATATTATTATTTATTTCTTGTGTGATTTAGATTTAGTCAAACTGAGTCTTGACAGTTGTACAACACCGTCGACACCGGACACGACCACTTCACAGATCAAAACTTTAATGGACTAGGTTCAGTAGGCTCGACACTTTATTTTTTTATTAGTCGATTAAAATAACTGAAGAAATATGTATAACTGATAATAACGCTTTCCGAACGTGAAAACTATAAAGTAATGATAAGTAGATGTCTAACCTTAGAAGAAAAAACCATTTTAATACAACAATAAAACTAATTGAAATTTTGAATTTGTGAAAGTAACAAATCAATGTTCGATTTCAGTATTAATTGATGAAGTTGATCTTCAAACAATTTTTAAAGTACTGACCTAAAATAGTAAACCTATTCACCGATTCTTACCATTTGTTCGCAACCAAATAAAATGCCAAAAAAACAAGGACATGAATAATGCGTAAGCATGAAAGACAAGACAGTACCTATATTATATGTTTTTTTAGATAAATATAATTTGTAAGAATCAAAATATTAATTATATTTTTCTTTGAGTTAAATAATGGATTGTAACTCAATAAATTATATTTTAAATTTACCGTCCACTACAATAATCTTTAATACAAAGTAGAAATAGAATATTTATAGACATTATGTTAATACAAATTACAAAACTCTATTGTAACGAAAGTGTACCGAAGCGGAAACATGAATTCATAAATTATTAATCCATGATTCGAAGTTCAATTTCATTGTGGTGAAGAGTAACGAGCAATAGGTAAAAATAATGAATAGGTATATCGTATACCTGTTAGTATGTTAGGTACGATGAAAATAAAATGTTTAGATTTAAGAATATACCTATTAAATAAGTAACGTATAACTTTTTCTTTGATTTTATTTAACAGAATATCCATTATCCACAGACTGTAGTTAGTATAATATAACATAATATGAACATCTGGAATTCTCAATACTATTACCATTAATTAAATAATATACATGTAGGTAGGTATTTAATTTATTTAATGCTATAAATTATAATAGAATCATGGCGATAAAACTACGAAAAGATAACCCATAAAATAAAATGTATATTTTGCTATTATATTTAGATATAGGTAATATTTTTATCAGACATCAGTTACTATTTATAATATGCAATGCATACATATTTACATTTAGGACTCAATAGTTTCAATATATCTAGAGCACCTATTATTTAGGAAGTTCCGACACAAAGTGTAAAGTTCGAAATCGGATATTTGGATGTGTGCACAACAGATTTGAGAATTATGAATAAGACTTTTTTTTATATGAGATAAATAAATAAAATTGAAAATTAATAGAACTATGGAAGGTCATCGTTATTATCAGGAACTATATAAAAATTCACCTTATAATAATTTAAATATGTGTAATCTTTCCAATTTTAATCCTCATCCAAATGTTATAAAATTGTTTTCTGTCAAAAAAAAAAAACGTAATCAAGTTGATCCCCTTGTCTTACATAACAGTGGTATGAAAGTGTTAACCAGGAAGCAAGTTTAAGCAAAATAACTTAAAAGGAATTAAATATATATTAATTAAATTTTAAATGATATATCCCATATATAAATAAAGTATTTGTTAATGGTTTTATTGTTTGCAGATTTATATTTCATTAAGTATATTTACTTAGTTTTTAAAATAAAAATAGATTAGCTGTTATCAAACAAATAATAATAATGTACAATTTTTAATATTAAAGTAAAGAATTATTAGTTATTAAAAAAATTGTTGATAGTGATTTTACTAAAAATTATAATTATGTGTAAGTGATGTAGAAGGGGTATAAGAAATTTTGTTCCCATGCCAACAACTCTGTAGTATATCATTGTATATAAAAAAAATGCGTAGACGTGTAGTGTAAATTTTTATAAATAAAAGGAGCTGTTATATAGATATTAAAAAAGATGAGATATCAATTATTTTTATATATACATTATACATATAAAAAAAATAGAAACTTACCAACAACGGGCAACATGCATAATCTACTACTAAGATATAGTACATATATGTATAAAATTACATTAATAAAAATAAATATAAATAAAAAAGATGATTATAATATATAAATATTGAAAAAAAATAGTTTTTATGAACATTTTTAATTAATTAATGCAACTTATTAATAAATAAATATAATTTTAATTACTTATAATAATTATACAACTGAACTTGATATAAGAATTAATGTTTCTAAATAATAGTAAAATTTACAGACTGTTTTTTTTTTTTTTTTATCTACTACTATTAAAGCATTTATATTATAAGTATTTAAAAATAAAATATTAAGTAATTTAAAATATCACTAAAGCTAATCTTGTAATAATAAATTTTAGTTATGTGTATACTACGAGTATTTCATATTTTAAAATTAGACAAACAATAAATTAAATTAATTTTTAAAATATAATTAGGAAATTATAGAATGTACAATTTTTTAGTTAATTTTCATATATTTATGCTGAAATCGTCAAATTTTGTATGCATTTTTTTTTTTTTTTTTGTTGTTGTAAATGTATATAAAAAATAACTCCAAAATATGTTATTATTTGAATGTCATCAATATTTTATTAACATATTTAAAATAATAATTTTATTTTAAGTTATTAACTAATTAATAATACTTTTACTATTCTCAATCAAAGATTGTTTAAAATAACCAAAGCAGTTTGTTAAATTATAAAAGATTTAATACTTTAACAGAAACATATGTATAAGCATTAAGCATATACATATTAATACAAGAACATGAAATATGCTTGAAATCTTGTTAACAATAATTTTATAAGTTTTGGTGATGGTATATAATGAGATTACTGAACTTGAAGACTAGACAATAGCATTTAATATTACGCATGTCATACTATAGTAAAAGAAAATTGACTAACAATAAATAATAATCTAAAAAACAACATAAAACGTTTGATTATAGAATTAAGAAGAATACAATTATTTATTATTATGATTATGATCTTTGTATTAAAATACAATAAAATGTGTGTTTTACCATTCTAAGAGGTTTAATAATTAACTAAACAGTTTAAATAATAAAATATTTTTTTATTTTATTGATAAAAAAAGAATAGTATAAATTATAGGTTGGGTATTAAACAATTATAATAATTATGAAAACTAAAAAAATAGCTGGTATTAATAGGTCAAATTTGTATTAATTCATATTTCTTAAATTACAAATAAATTAATTATGATGGGAAACTATCTTTCTAGTTTTTAGAAATTTTATTTTTTGTTGATAAATATTAATACACATTATGAAAAATATAATTATAAAATATATTTTAAAAATCTTTATCGGTCTGACTATGGTATATTTAGCAATCCCCAAGGATCGCAATAATAACCTAATTATGATTATTGTGTCAGTATATTTTACACTGCCATTAAATATATACAATAATAATAATTAAAAGTAATATTATAATACAAAAATTGAAAAAATAACTTAATTATAAATAAAAATTTCGATACAAAAATAGTAAAATTGTAAAATAAGGTAGTAAAGTAAATTAATTATGAGTAGACTTATAAAATTAATAAATACATAGAAATTAGAAAAATATTTTAAAGGAGAAAGTACAGGAATAAAAATATTTTGAAAATTAGTTATTAAATGAACATTGTACTATAATCCGATAAACCTTAGTGTTTTCTTATGATTTTGGTTTTTAAATTAATTAAAATTTAAAAGCATACAAATAAAGTATTAAAATTAATTTGTATGGCATTCAAACACATGCAACTTCAATGAAGGAGAATCCTTAAATGCCATTGGACAGTGTGAACATTTTATAGGGTTGATGTTAGGATGCAAAGATTTAATATGTCGAAGCAAGTTACATTTTGTTATTATTATACTACACCAATCGCATTCAACGGTTTTTGATTTTAGTTTTCGGTTAGAATGTTTGATAGCAGAATGATGATGTCTTTTATGTTGACTTAGGGATTGTTTTGATTTGCAATAATTATTACAAATAGGACATTGAAATGATTTATCTTTTTCTGAGATATTCTGTGTTTTACTGTTAGAAGCAGAATTGTGTTTTATTAATTCTTTATTTTTTTTTTGGTTATGCCGTGAACTACTTTCATTCAATGAAGTAACATTAGACAATCCATTAGTATGTGATAGTAAGTGTTTTTCAAAGCTTTTCTTCAAAACAAATTTTTTATTACACTGATTACATATCATTTGTTTTTTGTGTTGCTTGGAATGAATATTTAATTTGCGACGTGTAGTAAAATATCTATTACAATCTTTACACTTAAGACCTTTGTTAAAATTTGCAATCTTTGGAAAAACATATTTTTGAGATTTTACAAGGCCACTTTTGTTTTGATTACTCACTTTCTTCTTATTTAATGCTAGTTGTCTCCTTGAAATTATTTCGCTTCTATAACTATGATACTTCAAATGACCATTTAATGCAGAATAATTTTTGAATGATTTCATACATATATGACATTGGTGGAACTTGGAGGTTTTTGAAATTTTACTACAAATAGCATGATGGTTAAGAAATTGAGTTTCAGACTCTGATGTAAACATGCAACTTACACACTTAAATGATTTGAATTTCTTATTTTGTAAAGTTATATTGGAATCAGTTACACAAAAGTTTTGAGTTGAATTGTTTGAAACATTTTGTTGTAAATCTACTGAAGAATTAGAATTACAGGAATTTTTAGCCAATGCGGTGGTTGACCTCGAGTTCTTGTAATTTCCACTTGGATTTATTGTCACATTACTTTTAGATGACGACTGAATTTCTGAAGGACTCGTGGATGAATTTTTCACACATAAATAATTAACATGTTCAACAAGATGTAGATTCAAATGAGCGCCAAGAACAAATTGTGCATTGCATATTTCACATACATAAGGTTTATTGTTATGTGATAAATTTTTATGGATGACAAATACTTCAAAATTATCAAAATGAGCAAAGCATTCTTTGCAAACAAATTCTTCACTGTCAACATTTTCTACATAGTTTGAAAATGTAGTGTCCTCAGTTCTATCCTCTGGCTCAATTTTTATTTCAATTAAATTAGTAGTTTCAATTTTGACAGTAGTCTCGTATTCTTGCACCGAAGATTGCCATGAAGTATGTTGTATTGTATTTCTTTGATAAAAAAAAAAAAAAAAAAAAAATGATAATAATAATAATAATAAATAATATAATTCAAATATGAAAATTACATATTCAATTAATTAAATCATTTATTATGATTAATCAAATTAAATGGCAGTATTTGAGATATTTTTCTGTAAAACGTTAATTGGACTTTAGAGTTACGCCACACATGAATTATTTAAACTCAGAACTAGTGAACTACCAATTTATCTGACATGGTAATTGATTCAAGAAAAATTATGTACCATTTACTAATCGTTCACTTAATTTGAATTTGGTTAGGTTAGTACTACGATTAAATGATACTAGATACAAAAATCTCATTGTGAATATAATCCATATTCACATACAAAATATCAAGAGATATTGGGGATTACTTAGATAGTGAAACAAAGTCTAAAGAGAAAAGGTAAGGCATAATATAGATTAATAGTTGTCAAAAGTCATGTCCATCAAAATACAACAAATTATATTTTGATTAGTTTCTGAGAGACATTTCTAATTTTATTACTATTAAGAAGCAGCATAAAAATATTTTTAATATTTAATTTTATATCTTATAAATTGATAAGTATCATTAGTAAAAACAATGAAAATATAAAAATGATATTTTAACATATACTATACATACTCGTAAATCTCATTATTAAGATCATCATGATATTCCTGTTTTATTGTTCTAGGAGGAATATTTGTATTTGATACATTAGGTGTTTTCTCCTTTTTCTGTTTACTAAACAAACGTAATAAAGAAAAAATTTTTTTTTTTACTAACTAAACATAATTAGATCAATGTAAAATGTGTTGAAAAGTTATACTTACATTCCAGTATACAGATCTATATCCTCTTTTGTAAGCCGAGTAAGTTTAACATAAGGGTTAGAATTCAGAAGTTGCTCTTTCAAATGTTCATTGGTTTGTTTTGTAAGTGACATTTTGGAATATTACTAAAAATTGAAATTAATAGTACATATAGTAAAATTAGATTATTTGATATCAAAATTATATAAATGATTAATAACTGATTACAGAATACAAAAAATATTTTAAATATTTACAGTTAACATGTCACAATAATAAGTACAATAAAAACAACCAAAAAACTTTAAAAAATCAAATACTGTAAAAGAATTGGATACATTACGGTAATTTGTATTTAGTATTGTACATTTTTACCTGCTATTGACAATCATTATATTTGTGAAACGTATATAACATTTGAATATTGTACAATATTGTAATTATTCTTACTCGTAAATTGTTGTTTGTCGAGTTATTAATTAGCGAGGTTTAGTAATTTGTATTTTCGTGTTGACACGACTCTTCAATCTTGATACGGTCCAGACTCTAGACCACGTACGTAACCGTCAACAGACAACAGTATTAACAGTCAAGACATAAAACACTAAACTAGTAAAATGTGAAAACGGAAAGCTTAACCACCAACTTTAATCCACGATTCCACAATACACATTAGACAATTAAATATTAATCCATTGTGTTATCGGGCCTTTAACCACCTTTAACCGCCAACAGATTATTGATAAAATAAATCCAAAGAGACTGGAAAGTAACACAAGAAAATCTATTACCTAACTTGTCCCCTCTTATCTATACCAAATCACGGGCAAATTAAACTTCTTAATTCTTATATGTTATAATTTATTTATATATTGTTTAATTACAAACATTATACATCTCAAGAGTCCAAACAACAAGACTTTAAATCCGTAGAAAACTAGAAAATAATGAAAATAGATATCCTTAAATAAATTATTTATGTTCGTCCATGATATTATTATGATTTAATTAATTTATGGTTTCACAGAAGTTTTATGAATAATAAATAATATGTTTGTTTGCATAAATATAATATAGATTATGGACTTTTATTACTATCTATATTATATTTAAGGTTTATTGTACATCATTAAAGAAATATAAAATAAGTCAAATCTGTGAATTATTTATTGTTATACCTCCAGACACCATTATTTTATCACGGAACTTGTAGCAAACGGCTTAAAGCTTTAAAGTTTAGACTATAACTCAGAAGTATAGATTAGAGAAATAAAGAAACTTATGCTCTAAATAATAAATATTTAGCTATTATTCGGTATTTTGGTGGATTTGTGCCACTGGGTTTAATATTTTAACTTTTAAGTAATAAGTTGTATCATAAGACGTTACAAATTTCACAAATTGTTATCAAAATATTATGTACAACATAGATAAGTGATAACAGAGGTACAGAGATAGTAAATCATGAAAGTTGAAAGCGTTTAAGAATTCACTATATAATGGTGTGTTCGTGTACAGTGGACATTGAATTCAAAATCACAACGGGGTATAGGCTATAGAGGACGTATTTAGTTTATTCAGCATTAAATAGTGATTTAAAATTTCAATTAATACCGTATGGCGTATAGTGATTAGTGAGTGAGTAACTATTAAATGTATAAAGATTGTTTTAAATTAATGTATTACAAATATTTTTCTTTGGAATATATAATTTAAATTTGAAATTCGGTTTAAACTATCAAATTGTGAATGTTGTGTTTTTTAAATAAACATATAATCATATTATAATTGACATTTGTGCCTTTCTCTAACACTATGGCAGTTGCTAGTAAAATATTAAAAACAATAGATACATCATGTCATGAATATATGCACCCGTGGGTATCTTCTTGTTCCGATGCAAGTGCCGGTGTACTCATTCATTCGATCCAAGCTTCGTTTCGAATTTATGTTACCACATACATGGTATTATATTATTTATTAAATGTATATGTTTATTCAATTAGTTTTTGGACTGAATATTTATAATTTATTAATTCTTTTGGTAGTTGACTTTACTGATGAAAGGTCGTAAGCCGACTAAGAAAGAACTCAAACGAACTCTGTTGAGTATTATACAGTCAACTGCTTTTCTGTCGTGCCATGCATTTGGTTTTTCATCTATAGTGTGCTTATTAAGGTAACTGCTAATATGAAAAATCATATAATTTCATGACAGCTCATTTGCAAGTGTAATATGAAAAACAAAAAAAAAAACAATTTTGTTTCTGGTATACAGTATAAGTAATTACTTCTTTATGAGACAAATGTGTATTCATTTTTTACAAATTCCTTAAAGATTTTAAAACTTAGGTGAATTTAATGATTGCCTGATTATTCTGCTAGTCTAGCAGTAATTAGTGGGTAATTAAGTGATTTTCATACTTTTATTAAAAAATCAATCACTGAAATTCATAATTATTAATATTATTTTTTTAATAATTAATTTTAGTTTTAAGTATCACATATAAGAAGTTTCATTTTTAATTTCCTTAGCATTTTGAGAGTTTATAGGCTATTGCTGGTCTTATATATTTTAATGATAGTTGATTATTATTAATATTATTGTATAATTTCAGAAGATTATTTGGAAAATTCAATGTATTAAGTGTAGCATTCCTTCCATGTTTTTTAACCTGTGTAGTCGCTATATTAATTGAAAGGCCATCAAGACGAGGATTACTAAGTTTATATGTAACAAATGTTGTAAGTCACTTTCACAATTATTATGTTTAGTACTCAAATTAAACATACAATTATATGTATATTAGATTATAATTTTTATTTGATTATAATAATATAATTGAAACCATTTTAAAGTTATGTTATATTTTAAGGCCTCAGAAACATTCTATAATATGATGGTTAATAGAGGCATTATAAATCCGATTCCTTATGGAGATTTGTTTATATTTGGATCATCAATTACACTTCTCCTTTATTTTTTTAGAGGACAACACAATAAAACAGATTCAATATATTCCCTTTTAAGGTAAATACATTTCTTTTTTAACACGTTCACTGCTGACTATAATTTGATATACCTGTCACTATGCTGACGAAAATTGGGATGTTTAGGTAACAGATAAAACTGGATAAACCAAAATCTAAAATTAGAATTATCAAGGTACGACTAGCACAAAACGATTAAACAATACTTGAAGATAACGCTGACGAAAACTTATTTGTTTATCCGTAACGCTGATAAAATTATAAAGAAAAGAAAAATCATATATTGATGACGCTAATTGGCGTCATCAGCATACGGGAACAATGCTAAATGACGCCAATTGGCGTCATCAGCAGTGAACGTGTTAACTAACAAAACAAATTAATAAACAAGTTTTTAGCGTTACTAATTAAAGTTGCAAGATGACTGAATCAACATGAAATCCTATGTGTATTTTTCTTTAAAAAATGTTTTAATTTTTAAATTATTAATAGGTTGTTGTTAACATACTATTTGTTTTCTTTCAAACACATAAATAACAACAAATTTGCATTCAGGAAAACCAGTATTTTGTTGTTCATCAGCTTTAGTATTAGAGTGAGTTGACCTATTATTAAACTTAAGAGCAGTATCTGGGTTTATATTTGTTTTCAGGATTTTTTTATGATGTTTAAATTTTCAAGCATGTTGGAGGTATTAAAATTTTAGCTCATATTATCCTGCTTTAAAATTGAAATATTGTAAAAAAACAATTGTTCATAGATAATATTTTAAACTTTTAATTTGTTAATAGGTCAATTTATTCTAATACTAAAGCTAGCAAGGTTGATTCTGCTAAATACCTATTTGGTATGTTACGTATGGGTTAGAGAGTAAAAATAAATAGTATTCTAATATTCTTTTAATAAATAATTTTAGCATTGATTTTTTTATTAATTATTCATTATACATAAATATAATATCTGTTAGTAGTTTGGTTTTTTTTTCAGTATAAATTATATACTTAAATTAACAATAACCCGTTATTATCATGCATAAATTATAATTCTGTTACAAATATTAAAAAATATGAATTAATTACTTGTATATATTGGGATTCACTTGATTACGAATGTTTTATATAAAGCTTAAAATTTTTCAAGGAAACAAATAATACAAAAAAAAAGTTAAATACTCAGGTATTGATTAGAATTTTAATTAGAATACTTTGATTGATTGTATATACTAGGTAAATAATAATTAAAATTAATTAGGCTATATTTAAAGATACTCCTATGTATATATATAAATATCAGTGGTTCTCAATAGAAGTGTTATGAATCTATCATAGTGATGTAGAATCTCTTAGAAAAAGAAATGAGGTAATTTTTTTTCAAATAAAATTTTATTATTGACGCCATCAAATCAACAGGGCAACATATTAATGATTGTCACTCATAACTCTATAATTAATATCTCCAGTTATAGAAGAGCTTCTTTAGTTTCAATATTCTAAAAGCAAAGATTAGTGCAATTCTTGAATATCAAAGCAAAAAACACCACTCTTAACTTGTAAAAAAATTTAATGATAAATGAAAGTCTAAGAATTTCTTAAGCTTGTAAAAAATTAAGTGAGTGAAATTTCTAATTAATTTCTTGACTTACTATATAATTATTATTTTTCTGTCGTTTTTTCTTTTTTTATTAAAATCTTAATATTTAATTTTTATATCTGACCTACAACTGACTTAAAAATTTGCTAATTATTTTTTGAGGTACTTTATTTTTTTAATAAAACTGAAAGTCTACATTTTTCTTATGAAATCTAATTGTATGATTTAAATTTTAAAACATAATAATTAGAGCGTTTCTATTACATCAAACCATGATGGTGAGATGGCATAATGTCAGATTCCCATAAATTAGGGTGGTACAATTTATAAAGGTGAAGTATCACTTATTTATCTACTTATTGTTTTTTTTTTTTTATATACCTAATGTAATAATATAACATTTGATGTAGTTAATAGAATCATATAAGAGCAAACTGACTTACTTAAATTATTTTCAACATCAAAGCCAATATTATTATTAACTTTTAATGTAAAAGATTTACAGTATGTAAATCCAGCGATAAAAATAATGTATTTTACTATAATGATCATAAATAAATATTTTAAAATACTCCAATAATTTGAATAATTGTTTATTCAGAATCGCATTGGTACATAACTTAGTGTATGATGTATTTTAAAGGTTTGTTGTTGGTCCTTCTGAAGAAAATGATTATACGAAACCATTGTTATCTCCTCCAACTCCCCAGTTGAGAAAATCAAATCAAGATACTATTCGACAAGTAATTACTGATATACATCAAGCTTACTGCTCTATAGACAGTAAATTAAAGATAATTTGGACCAGTGATGTATGTCCACATGCTTATGGATGTTTACATTATATTCTTAGTGTGAGTAAAAAATTAGTGATTAATAAATTATACGGTTTCACTTTACATACCAATTTGTTTAGTCAGGAACAAGATTATTTTTAGTTGGTTACACACTACAATTAAGTTTGAAGTCTTTGTTACAAGCCAATCGAATTTTACGTAAACCAAGTTATATTTTAAAACTTATGGTATCGCCAGATACATTTAGTTTAGGAGCTTTTCTTGGAGGATTTTCTTCTATCTATAAAGTAATTATAATTTTAATAATATTGATATTAATGAATTAGTTTTATTGATTTTTTTTTTTTTATGTTTTAGTTTATATCATGTGTAATGAGAAGATTATTAGGTAAAGATTCAAAATACATATGTATTCCTGCAGGATCATTAGCTAGTCTCACATTTTGCTTGTATCGTAATAACACAATAGCTTTATATGTTATGTTGAAAACATTACAGGTATTATTGTCATAAATTCTTAATATTAAATACTGAATGGATTACATTAATTACTCAACCATGTATTTTTTTCAGATAATGTATATTAAAGGTTCTAATGATGGACTGTTTCCTGATTTACCTCAAGCAAATATTTTCTTTTATTGTTTTTCTACGGCTATTCTATTTCATGCAGCCATACTCGAACCACATAACCTAAGACCATCATATTGGAAATTTTTACAGTCTGTATCTGGTGGATGTATAGGTTTAATGGATCGCCATTGTTTAGATACATTTGGTCTCAAATCAAGTGAATCACTTGAAAGAGTATTAAAAAAATACAAGCCAGTTCCATTACAAGTTTTTAAATTTTAAACGTATGTTATTTAGTTGAGGACAGAAGATTAAGGTTAATGGTAGATATAAATATATGGTAGTGTTTTAAAAATATATGTTAATGTTGTTATAATTTTTTTTTATATGGAAAAAGTTTGTTTTTAAATATTTATTTTTGTATACTTACTGTTTATTAAACTAGATTTTTATATGTTGAAATAAAACAATGTTGTGTTTAAACTTCAAACATAATTTTGATACTTATTGATTACATCTTATTACTGATCACTCATAAAAAAAATTTGACAACATTCAATAAATATTTGGTAGTAAAAATGGAATCCAAAATGTAACTAACTAAAATTCAACACTTAAATCATACTTGTGGGAATTTAAAAAATATTGCTTTTTTATGGGTATTGCATTTATAAGTTATTAAAATTGTCTCCAATGATTTTATAGTAATCTAAATAATTCTTCAATACAATGAATTATATATATTAATGATATTTAATTTTGAATATGTGCAATAAGCATATGTTGCATATTAACTTAGATAGTTGTTTTGCAAAAGTAAATAAAATTATGCATTGATTGAAATATATGAACATTTTATTTACTTAAATTAACTTAAATATACACACAAACAATGATTAAAATGTAAATTTTTTGTATGTAATATTTAAAACTTAATGCAAAATTCCAGTTCATAAATTATTATGTTAATAATTTAATGTTGAACATCTTTATTAATAATTTATAGTGCTAACGATTTAATAGATAATTCAAAAATATTGTCACCGTACCTTTAATAATTCTTCTACTTTATTAAAAGTATTAGAAGTAATTTAAATTAATAAATAAGTTTTAAGTTATTAAAAGCGACACATCACAACAATTTAATGATTTTTAGAAGACATTTATTACAATTTGTCATTGTGTTATGAAATATATTTATCATTTATGTATTACTAATTATAAATATTTACATTGTTGAATTTAGATTCATATAACACAGAAAATAATTACCCGTGAAATTCTTTAGTTTATAAATATGTTTTTTTTTCATTTCTGAGTGACAGAATTACAGAAATATTTTCTACAATTTATAATTTGTAAATAGGATGTTTAAATACAAAATATATTTCAAAATTTGTACTTTGAATGAAAATGATGTAATTAAACAAAATACATACATTATATTTAAATCAACACACGCAGTATCGCGAACAATATTATTGAAAAAACATTGACCATAAAATTAGTATAGAGTACGTGTTAATTATCACGAAATTTCAATACTTATGTTCTGTCAGTATAAAAAAATTTAGATGTACAGTATATCGTAATTCGAAAAGTGATGACAGACAAATAATGGGATATAGAATCGACACTTAGGAGTATTTGCTTACCGATTATATGATTGTTGACGCGAGGTAATGAAATTTCTTCAGTATTGACACTGAAGGGACGTTTTGAGCTATGCGCCATGCGGTAATCGAATTCCGAAAGGATTAGATATTGACTAATTTGACCATTATCTGTATCATTGATCAACGTCGATAGTGACCGTATTCCAAATTTCCAAACAAATTATATTCCGTAACCCGCGTAAACATACATCAGTCGTCGGTTGTACAATTTTAGCGATTTGAATCATCAACAAAAATGAATCATCTGAAATTTAAGCTTGAAAATTTGTGGTATACTGTACTGGTATTTGTGAATGAGTTAGAAATAATTTTTATGTTAATTAATTAAGTATGAGTAAAGAGCCATGATATTACATTAATGTTAAACGGTACAAGGTTTATGATTTAAGATGGACTATAAGTCATAAAGACAAAGTATTAACCATATGGCATAGGACTGATTGAACATTGAATATCGAGTATCCAAGTACCACGACGGTCGACGGTCGAATACTCAAATTGCCGAAAGATAGTACGAGACTCTAATAAATATAAATATATAATATTATTATTTATTATTATTACAACATATATATGTCGTTCGGTATACAATTCATGGTCATAGAAGATAAGGTTTGACTGTCCGAGCGAAAAACCAGGGTGGCTGAATAATGAATGAAGATGATCAAATTTTGCAAAATTGGTCTTGGAGTAAAAAAAACAAATGTGAATTCAACTGTCGGATAGATGGAGATACCGCAGTATTTAAAAAAATGACTTATTGAAAAACAGTGGAAGTAGTAACTAGTAGTAATAGTAGTAGTAGTAGTAGTAGTGGTGGTAGTAGTAGTATTAGTAGTAACGTAGTAGTAGTAGTATTATAGTAGTAAACAGCAGTAACAGCAGTAGCAGCAGCAGCGGTAGTAAAATATCTGATCAAGGAGGGGGTCGCTGTCGTAGACATGGCGAACTATTTTTCCGCAATCCCGCACTCGTTTTTGATAATTCATCGTGAAAAAACGCCGACACGAAGTAATTGTCAGTAAACCCCTCGACAAAACGACTGTACGCACGCACGTCCGGTCACACCGTTCATTCCGTGAGTGTCTCGTGCAAATATTCACGTTAAAATATTCGGCCCCCGGCCCACTCGCCGTAAAAATTATATCACATTTTTTGTTCATTATCGGGCACTCCGTGATACCACCACGACTGTATTGCGCGCGATGGATCATTGATATCGCGGTCGAGCACGGGTCATTGCCGCGCGAGTGGTGCACTAATGTGCCGCGTCGCAGTCGTGTCGTCGTAATTCCTGGAGTGGTAGTTAGTTAGTGTTCGCCGTCCGCGGTATCGTATGTGCCGTGTCTGAGACCGCCCGCGCAAAAATCGCTAAATTAAAGAAAAAAGGCGACCGTCGGCCTTCCACCAAAGGGAGCCGGATAAACGTCGTCGTCATGGAACAAATACCCACGACATCGAGCGGCGGAAACGCCACGGCTGCACCGTCGTCAGCCGGCCCCTCGTTCACGCCCCCGACGCCCGTCCAGCCCTCGGACAACAATTGCATCGACAAAAGATTGCAGTCCGTCTCCGAGTCAGAATACCAAGACGACGAGTACGACGAACCTGATCACCAAATGTACTTGTCCGGGTCGTCCGGTTCCGAAGAAGAATTATCAGAAGTATGCATTTATCATTATAATATATATTGCATATCGTAGTGTTATAATATCTCATACTGTAGTGATAGTGATAATATTATTAATTATTATTTAATTATTAGTTCATATTGTTCATAAGCCGCCGACGTACGGGAACGAATAAAACGTATAATCGTATCGCGATAGGTAGAATATTTTTTCGAATTTAATTTTTGTCTATTGATTTCGTCATCCCCGCCGCAATCGTCGACAGCTCAGTGAGTAACTAAACTATAATTTTGGTTTTTTGTGCGAAGTGACGTCACCGTGACCTTTCGGGGGTTTTCATGAAAATCGGATCCCCCCTCAACATTCCGTAGCCGTGGGGCACCCTTTGTCACAACTGGTTTCCGCCCAGTCGGGACCTGGTGAGGGGGGAGTGTGTGTGCATGACAACCTAACCTAGAAAAAAAATATATATATTGTCGTATGAGAGTACCTTATTTCAAAAATATTTTCTCGTCAATTAAAACATTACTATTATTATAATAATAATAACGTGTATCCCGTCATCCACATGCCTACTGCTGTTATTATCGTGGCTTAGCCTGGTGTGTTTTAATTTTTTACACACTTCTCCGGTCTCTCCGTATGATAACAATGGCGTTGTACGTATTATGTTAAGGACTGTGCAGTACGTACGGTGTTAATAATAATAACTATGATTGTGATAATATTATTGTGTGTGTAGAAGTTAGTCGGTGCGGTTGTTTTTTTTTGTCCACCGACTTGGGTTATTAGTATTATTCTCATTATTTCGTTTTCCTCCAGCCGGCCCGGGGTCAATCGCATCGAGATTTTCTAATGTACGCGGCACATACCGTCGCCACCACCACCGCCACCGCTTCCACTCCCTCGCTGTATTGTTCTCGTTGACTCCGCTTACGTACGTCACCGCGTTTTAGAGCAGTCGTGTACTCGTGTGGGCTTGTTTGTGTCTCTGTCAGAGAATTGCGCGACTAACATGTTTTTGTCAATAATTGTCTGTAAAATTGACATGTGTACCGAAATCTACATGGTGTAATCGTTTCGATCCGTGTGATCGTCGAAGTGTTGTGCGTATGTTTTTTTTTTTTTATTATTAATTAAAGATAGATTTTTTGCGAGTTTTCGACGACGATTTTCGGATTAAAATTTTGCAGACTACCTATTGTTTGGTAATTATTTTAATGATACCTACTGTGATATATGCATCCAATTCCATTCCTGCTATGGTCTGTATACCAACAATTTGGTGGACGTTCAATTTTTATTTTCATCTAATATTTGACTAGGAAAAGTGGTTTTTCGTAATATCCATTATCCTCCTTGTTTGATAAAATTATTTTTAATATTATTTCTTTTTTTTTTCTGGTCTATCTGTAATAACATTTATGATCAATATTTATACTTCTGGAGTTTTCCTGTAGTTTCTTTATGTTATGGTTATTTGATTTATTATAAATTAATATTTTTCATGAAAAGGGATCGTAAGAATTACCATAATCTGTGTTAACTATTTACCTAGTTTTATTTAAATAAACATTAAGAATTTAATTATTGTTAGAACAATAAAATTCTTTATAGCTTATATCAGGAGACATACACTGATAATAATGTAGTTTGCATAATTATCTATTTACATAAAAATATCATAGAATTAGTTTTAAATGATGCTTATATTTTTCAAATAATTTTACTTGATATAAGGTTTGGTGTCGCACTTAAATCATTAGTTTCGAATGAATCAAATCTTAAAATAAAATAAATGGACATTCCTTAATTCTAAACGGTGCTAGACTATTTAGTATTATAAATTATATGTTTTTGTCTTATTAAGTTATGTTATGAAGTATAGATTTACAATTTTTTAAATCATTTATTTAACTACTTTAGTATATTATTAAATCTGTGTATTTTCATTTTTATTGAAAATTAATATTAATATTTTACACATGATAAAACTCAAAAGTTTACTGTTTTTAATACAGTAGACGCCACTTATAAGACTCACAGATATAAGGTTCAGTCGCTTATTAGACTCAAAATCGTCTGGAACGATCCGGACGTATCCAAATACATTAAAAAAAAATCGGTTAGAAGACTCAACACTTCGGTTATAAGACTCAAATTTCGTAAAATAAATAGTAGAAAATAAACTTTTTTGGTTATAATTTAGAAATAATTTGGTATTGAAAAATTAAATAATATTTGTGTTGATTATTTCTAGTTTCTGATGGTATCTTATAATGTATAATAATTTTTATCGCAGATAAAAGTTCACATTTATCGCAACGATAATTGTTATTATAGTGTACTGATTATCTGGCGGCTGCACAGTTATCGTAATATGTAATATTTACCTATTATAATTTTAGTTTTTTTATCGGGATTATTAAATTTATTCAATAATAAAGTATGTAATATGTGTTAATGTATTAAACTCAAAGCAAAATATGTAGTAAAATAAAATTTATAAATAAGTAATTATTTTTTTTTTCCACTTCGCCTATAAGATTCATTCGGTTATAAGACTCACTTTGTGCTGGTCCCAAAGTGAGTCTTATAAGCGGCGTCAACTGTACTTTTAAATTTTATTATTTTAAATAGAACTTTTTGAATTGTGTTTATTTTTAAATATTGTTGCAATTTAAATTAATTAGATATTTTTATTTATGCATTATACTATACATTTTCTATTCAATATTGCGTTAAAAGTAGGGACTTTAAATACATTTTTATTTTCTTAATTATTTTTATCAATAAAAAAATTAAATATCAAATAATGATTGAATAATTTTTTTTAGTGATCATAACTTAAGTGTACTTTTAATTAACATGAAGTTTTTTTAATCTATAGTACAATTAGAAAAAAGTATAACAAATTATTTTGTGAACTAATTATATTGGTATCTAATATTTTAATTTAAGGAAATTTGAAATTAGGTATTGCAACTTGCAATAAATATTCATAATTAATTCTTATATCAAGATTGTCTTTGAAACTTGTACTTGTTTAAGTTAATAATTTTTTGCTCTGTTTTAAAATATTTACACAATGCATTTATATAAACTTTGAATTTGTGTTATAGGTTGGTAGGTTTGGTATAAATCGAGAGAAATTATGTCGAGATCCTAATAACCATTTAAATTCAACCTTTCTAATAGCAGCAGACGATACAGATACAGAACAAAGTATAGAAGGAGATCCTGACACCCATCGTCAATTAGAAGCACTTCTCCAAGCAGCAGGATCTATGCTTAGACCAAGTAAGTGGTCTTTAAAACATTAAGGTGACTTTGGGTTTCTCCTTAAAAAAAACTATGATTTATTTTGAATGAACTAACAGGTGCAAACGTATGCGGTTTAGGTCTGACTAAACTCGGCGTTCCAATTGAGACCACCACAGACCCTGAAGTGCTGCGAAAATTAACCAATAGTGTTTCTTGTGCTTTAGACGAGGCGGCAGCAGCTTTGACACGGATGAGAGCAGAAACCAAAAATGATAATAAGTATGTTGGATATAAAGGCCACAGTTAGTACAAGCCGAAAAATTATCAAATCAAATTTCAGGACCCTTGTCGAAGCATGTCATGATGGTGACGTTGGAGCTGTTCGTAAACTGTTAACAGAAGGTCGATCAGTCCATGAGACATCTGAAGAAGGTGAAAGTTTGTTGTCCCTTGCCTGTTCAGCAGGTTATTACGAATTAGCACAGGTCAGATATCTTTAAACATTTAATTTTTGATTTAACCTATTATATTTTTTTATATTTTAAGTGATATTGACTTAATATGAATAATTGCGAAGATAACCAATTTAACAATACAATTTCTTTACAGATATTTTAAAATTAAAATTAAATCCTTTAAATAATATTTTAGGTTTTATTAGCAATGCAAGCTAATGTTGAAGATCGGGGTATTAAAGGAGATTGTACACCACTTATGGAAGCTGCGTCTTCTGGATTTGTGGAGATTGTTAGGCTACTTCTTGCTCATGGAGCTGTTGTTAATGCTCTATCTTCCACAGGTTAGTATATATTCTAAACAAATATTAATTTTAATATTTATATACTGTTGTTAAATAAACTATAAATGTGAATGTCATCAATTCAAATATGTT